CATACTCACCTGAGAGATGTGGGACTGATCGTATAAGTACCAGCATGAGAGGCTTGTCGGGTGGAGAACTGAAGTGTTGTTTGTCAGCCAAGACATTTTTTCAGTGAACAACTTGGTTGAGAACCAAATTATTCAAGATGGGAGATGGTTAAGAATTGAGGTTTGACTGTATAATGGGCCAGTATAATGTCCTTTCAAACAGTGATATGGTTAGAGCCTCTGACAATGAAACTGAGGCACAGAGCAGGAGAGCTGACGTTCCTCTAAGGCAGTGGTTCTCAACCTTCCTAATGCTGCGACCCTTTAATACAGTTCCTCATGTTATGGTGACCCCCAACTATAAAATTATTTTTGTTGCTACTTCATCACTGTAATGTTGCTACTGTTGTGAATTGTAATGTAAATATCTGAGATGCAGGATGTATTTTCATTGTTACAAATTGAACATCATTAAAGCATAGTGATTAATCACAAAAACAATATGTAATTATATGTGTGTTTTCTGATGGTTTTAGGCGACCCCTTTGAAAGGGTCGGTCGACCCCCAAAGGGGTCACGACCCACAGGTTGAGAACCGCTGCTCTAAGGCATTGCTTCTCAAGCTTTGATGTGTATCAGAATCATCTGAAGGATTTGTTAAAACAGATCCCTGACCCCACCCCCAGAATTCCTGCATCTGGGTGGGATGGAGCATTTGCATTTCTAACAAGTTCCCCGGGTATGCTGCTGCTGCTGCTGCTGCTGGTTCACTGTTTGAGCCTCTGCCCTAAGGCCACTTGGCAAATTGTGCTGCTGTCCCTCCTGGATGAAAGCAAATTGCTTTTGGAGAAAATAGCATTGGTCAGTTTAGAGCTGCATATGAGGTGCCAGGATTGTACTGATTTGCTACAGTAAAGACACCAATCTGGAAAAGCTCTTTAGCCATTTGATTAAGGTGGCTTACGACCATCTATTAATAACGTATCCAGTTGTACTAGAGAATTTAAACGGGCAGATGCTAAGAATTACTGCCCCTGAATATGTTTTTGATAGTGTCACCAATCCGAGAAAGTCCCCTGGTCTGCAGTATTGCTCTTGATTTTCTGTCATGTTAGCAGGACTCCTCTAATGGTTTTCACTTGGCCCCTTCTACCATGACAATATTTATCTAGATAGCAATTGTGCTGTTGCTAAACACAGTATTTGAAGTATACACCCATGGACTTAGGAAATTACAGTGGGTTGGTTTTGGGGTCCCAATGAGCCCCTGTCAAAAGCCTATTTATCATCTAACGTCCAAAAAACTCCGTTTCTGAAGCTGGCACATTAGATCTAGAATTAACATACCCTTAGCTGTGTGACTTAGCCCCCTCTAAAATCGTGGTCTTTCCTCCTGAACCCATCACGTTCAGAAGCAACACAAATGAATAATAGTGTCTTGTAAGGAATATATAATTCTTTTTTCCAGATTCTATCTTGATTTGACCCTTCCAGGACAACCTGCGGTAGAACTGTACTGTACTTACAAGTTGAGACATTGAAGCGTGGTGGAGATGGGGTAGGAGGCTGTTTATGTCCTCGCAAAGTCCATCTTTCAGATGCCTCAGCAGACATGGGATTAGGGTCTGCTGTGATGGCTTTGGGTTCAGAGCACCGCGAGTATTCTGAACCTTGTCATGTATCCCCGCTTCAGGTCTCAGGGCCCCACTGTTTCCTTATCACAGTACCACTAGGTTTATGTGAAAAGGAAATACATTTAACTGATATAATTTGGCAACCTGCAGGATCAAACTCCATTTGGTGTTCAACTTCTTAAGCATTAAGTCTTTTTAATCCTTGTGTTTCACTCCACACCTCCAGCCAAGGCTTCGGATTGCCCGTTTGTCACTCTCTTCCTCAGCCAAGCACTGCCACTAGCGCACTCAGGCCGTAGTCCTTGAAAGTTCATGCTCTTCACTCAGCCTTGCCTTCCCCGGGCAGAGCATTCTTAGACATTGTTGGAATCTGTAGGATTACAAGGATAACTCAATCAGGTTTTTCTGGTATATACCATGGGCTGTCAGATTTCCATCTCTAAATACTGACAGAATATTCACTGCTTTTAGTCTCAGTTTAAGTCTAGAAAACCAGTTCCATTCCTCTTACTGAGATCACATATATAATTGCTGTACCAGTCTGTCTTGGTTGCAAACCATAGAAACCAACTTTGACTAACGTAAGCAGAAAATGAACGAATATTGAATAGCTTGTCAAATCAATGGGGAGGCTGAAGAACCAGGTTCAGAATATAGGGAGGAGCAAAGGGAACGAGGACACCGCTAGGATCATGTCCCAGGACCAGTCTGTCCCAATGTCAATGCCATTGTCCCTCGACACTTATTTTGACACTGGGCATTATAGCCTTCCCCCCCTGCAGTTGCCTCAAATAATCTGTTCTTTTGTACAACCCTCTCCCAAAATGTCACAATACCTGGAGCATCCAAATGGCCAAGCTGGTTCTGTTGTCAGATTGCTCCCTGCATCATCCCTCCTTAAACTTCTGTAGCATCCCACCTACTTTGGAATTCCCAAAAACAGGACTGCTGGGCAGGCAGAAGTGATAGATGTGCCCTCTACGGCTCAGTACAAGACAGACTTACCTACCAAGGAGAACATTTCTTCGTAGTACCTACAATTGTTTTGAAATTTAAGTCCCGCCCTGTTGCTCAAGGCTTTGTCACCCTCTTCATAAACTTTTTGAGCCACAAAGTCTCCTTAGAGATCATCTAGTGGTTCATCGCTCTCATATCACTAATGGATGCTCAGAGACTCAAAGACAGACAAATATCTTCCAAAGGTGGCACTGGAAATGAATGGCAGAGCTGTAACCAGAATGACAGTGCTGGCATCATTTCCAGGCAAGGGTTACATAAAATGCTCCACTTGTTTTGGTTCTCATTGTCTATCATAGTTTGGCTCTGGCTATTTTTCAGGTGGAGGTATTAGTGGTCTTCTTAATTGCCCTTTTCTTCTTTGTCCCTGCTGGTACTAATAGTTAACTAACACAGATTTCTTCCAAGGACTCACCATTCCCTTAAAGGAGCCTATAACTTATTTCTCTGAGCATTAAAACTATCACCAACAGGACTATTTTGGTTATTATTGAATGGTAGAATCTCAAAAGCATTGTTGATAATTTTCCATCTCTTTCCTCTGCTTTATCTTCTAATCATTCCATAGAGTTCTTTATTTCAGCCATCTTATTATTTTAATTTTTCATAGCATCCTATTCTTTTTAATGAATGCAATAGCTTCTCATTTAACATTAACATTTTTGTTTATTTTGTGATTTATTCTGTTTTGTTTTCTTCTGTCCCCCGCATAACCTGTTCCCTCCAAATTTCCCTTTATCTGCTTGCTTGTTGTGGTCTCTGACGCTCATAAGGTTTTACTCAAATGCCTGGTGATTCTTGGCTGCCCGTTAAAGTTGTATGCATTGAAATCTCCATGTGCAATAATGGGGCTCGTTGCTGGTGGGCTTCAATAGTAAGGAGAGGTCAAGCTTTTCCATGGTCACTATCTAGAGGTTTTTTCCTCTTGTCCAAGACTGTTGAGTTTTTTTTTTTAAAGATCAGGGATGGTGGTATTTCCCTGTCTGCCAACCTTTTGGAAACAGGAAAGGAAAAGGATGAAGGCTTCATGTTTCCCTAGTCTTTCAGTCAGTCCAACCTATTTCCACCTGTGCTGTATCTCTGCCCAGATCTGTGCCAGGTAGTTCAAGTCTAAGAACATCTGTAGCTCCATTTCTCCTGGAAATAACCCTGATAGATTTTAGTGGGCATCTGCCTGTTGGGGTGGGTGTGGGGGCATAATAGAGCGAGAAACTGATTTGTAAACAGCCCTCAGTTTTTACCTTTGTGCCTGGAAGAACTGAGACCCTCTGTTTCTTAAGGGCAAAATCAGTTCATTCTCATGTGAGTCCCTCCACTCGTACTTTGTAATCCACCCCCATGTCTGATTAAGTCACCTCACACTCTACTAATAGCTTTCTGTCACTCAGAGTTTTAGGACTTTCTTTTTAGATGTTTCTTTTCTTTGGAAAACTCAAATACATTAATGTAGCATCTCCTGTTCACGTAATAATGGATTAGTATCTTTATTTTCTTTATTGTCATTTTACTGAGGGAACAAGGGAAGAAGGATAAACACATGTGGTCAATATACCATGTTTATCCAGGACCCATCTCTATGCCCTAAAGCGTAATCATCACAATAACTAACATTTGTTGAGTGCTTGTGTTTATTAATGTAGTCGTCACAACAATCTTATGAGACAGTTACTATTATTATTGCCATTTTACAAACGAAGAAACTAAAACACAGAAGTTAAGTAACTTGCCCAAGATACACAGCCAGTAAGTGGGGACCTAGGATTCACACTCAGCTGTGAGACTCCAGCGTTACTTTCTGCTTAAAATTCTCCAATAATATTTCATTCCTTTATTTTAAAATCCAAACAACTTAGCGTGCCATTCGTGCCCCCTGTGATAGGTCCAGCATATTCTCCAGTCTCATCTCTCTCTTTAGTCTGCCCTGGTTCCACCTCTTTGACCTGTTACTGTCACCCTGAACTTCTTGCCCTGAATGCACCATGTTCTCGTGATCCTCACATCTTTTTCATGCTGTTCCCTCTGTCCCCAAATTGCTTTAGTCTCCAGAATACTCAGTCAGTGTTAGGGTATTTCCGCATATACTTATAAATTGAATGTTTGTATAATTTATTTCACCTAACAATTCATGCTTTTGATTTGCTTTGATTTAGCATATCTTCTTAATTGAATAAAATATATTTCAATGTGTCTGAAGGTTCCTAAGTCTAACAGACTAAACAAAATGATCTCAAAACTTGATTGTATTGAGAGTGATATTTAAATATTCTTTGGGATTATAAGTGAAAATGTATATAGTTTAAACAGTAAATGAACTAATTTCTCCATTTGTTATTAAAAATTTTTCTAATCTTATCTTGTTTTTCTTAATAGCACTTTCTTCCTCTTGCAAATCTGAATTGTTCACCAAATGTTGAAACTTTCCTTTGCAAAGCTTTTGTACCAACCTGCACAGACCAAATTCATGTGGATCCACCTTGTCGTAAATTTTGTGAAAAAGTATATTCTGATTGTAAAAACTTAATTGACACTTTTGGGATCCAGTGGCCTGAGGAACTTAAATGTGACAGGTAAATTATGTTTTCAGCCTAAAACAACTAATGATAATGATATTTTAATATTGGTGTTAGCTTTCCAGAATGTTAGTGACAGGCTTTCGTTATTTGATTCAACAAATATTTATTACACCTTAACATATACCAGGCACTGTGGTGATAAGTGTCATGGACACAGTGGTGAGAAAAAAACAGACTTGGTTCTTATTCTCAGGGAACTTACCATGGGGTGGAAGGAATGGAGAGTAATCAAATAATTATACAAGAAATGCAAATTTATAACTGCGCTTAGATATAACAAAGGCGAGGTACATAGTTCTTTGAGAACATGTAATAATGCCTTTGACCTTACCTGGGGAAATGAACCTCATTATCAAGTCACTGACCTTTTTGCACATTAGTCTTTATTAATTATTTTTGTTCCCTTTTCTCTGGACAATGGTAGCTTGTAATTTGAAATATTGTACTGATACAATGAGAATTCATATAATAAATCTGGGAAGGAAGCTAGCTACCTTTCTGTTTATCTATGAACTGAAGAAACTTTATGGAACTCATACATTTCTGCTAAACTCATAATTATTTTTAAGGACAATTGAGTAATACGGTTGCCCTTGAACAACTCAGGGGTTAGGGTTGCTGACCTCCCATACAGTCGAAAATCTGTATATAACTTTTGACTCCCCAAAAACTTAACTACTAATAGCCTACTGTTGACCAGAAGTCTTACCAATAACATAAACAGTTAACAGATGTTTTGTATGTTATATGTATTATATACTGTATTCTTACAATAAAGCAAGCTAGACAAAAGGTGTTAAGAAAATCATAAGGAAGAGAAAATACACTTAAACTATTTATTGAAAAAAAAAAAACCCATGCATATAAGTTGACCCATGCAGTTCAAACCCATATTGTTAAGGGTCAACTGTATATAGTAAAGTTGAAGATGCTCATACCCTACATCTAGGAAATCTCCTTTCACAGAGACTTTCACACCAACAAGGAATCATGTACGGAAATACTGATTGTGACACACAAATACTCCCGTGTGTCACTCAGGTGTGCCTGTGTAAGGGAGGCAAACAGACAAACCAAAAAAAATGGCAACGTGAGTGAAGCTGGTCCTCAGCCTGCCTCTTGGAGATCCTCTCGCCCTTCTTTAATAACTTAAAGGTCACTTGAACTTTAACACCAGTCCAAGAAAGGATCTTATTTCAGCCATCACCTTACTTAGGTGGTTTATCTACTTTGCTTGTGGGCATTAGATAATAAAAATTTACTTTCCAAGACTTATATTTTATATGCATATAAACAGACAAGCCTGTACTTTTTATTTTTTCCTGGAGAGTACTAAGCAAGATAATTTTTTCTTAAATATTTAGTCTTGAGAGCAGACATTATTTTTAAATTATTAATTGATTGTTTTCCAAGTAAGGGAATGTGTATGTTCATTTGCCTTGTATTTAATATATGTTAGTTTGTTAGGACCTCATTAGCAACCACAAATTTTTAGTCAATTTCAAAACTTTCTGCCCAACTAACCTGTAATCCTGTAGGTTTGTGTGGCTTCCCATCAATTATGAATGCATAAGGAACTATTTTATAATTGGAAAGCATAGCATTAAAATAGTGGCTCAATAAAAATTTTGATTATATATTTAATTTTTATAATTTTTACAGATTACAGTATTGTGATGAGACTTTTCCTGTAACACTTGATCCACACACAGAGATTCTTGGTCGTCAGAAGAAAACAGAACAAGTCCAAAGAGACATTGGAATATGGTGTCCAAGGCATCTTAAGACTTCTGGGGGACAAGGCTATAAATTCCTAGGAATTGACCAGTGTGCACCTCCGTGCCCCAACATGTATTTTAAAAATGAAGAGCTAGAGTTTGCAAAAAGCTTTATTGGAATAGTTTCAATATTTTGTCTGTGTGCAACTCTGTTCACATTCCTTACTTTTTTAATTGATGTTAAAAGATTCAGATACCCAGAGAGACCAATTATATATTACTCTGTCTGTTACAGCATTGTGTCTCTCATGTATTTTATTGGCTTCTTGCTAGGCAATAGCACAGCCTGCAATAAAGCAGATGAGAAGCTAGAAGTTGGTGAGACGGTAGTTCTAGGCTCTCAAAATAAGGCTTGCACCATTGTGTTTATGTTTTTGTATTTTTTCACAATGGCCGGCACTGTGTGGTGGGTGATTCTTACCATTACTTGGTTCTTAGCTGCAGGAAGAAAATGGAGTTGTGAAGCCATTGAACAAAAAGCAGTGTGGTTCCATGCCGTTGCCTGGGGAACACCAGGTTTTCTGACTGTTATGCTTCTTGCAATGAATAAGGTTGAGGGAGACAACATTAGTGGAGTTTGCTTTGTTGGCCTTTATGACCTGGATGCTTCTCGCTACTTCGTACTCTTGCCGCTGTGTCTTTGTGTGTTTGTCGGGCTGTCTCTTCTTTTAGCTGGGATCATTTCCTTAAATCACGTTCGCCAAGTGATACAGCACGATGGCCGTAACCAAGAAAAACTAAAGAAATTTATGATTCGAATTGGAGTCTTCAGTGGCCTGTACCTCGTGCCATTAGTGACACTGCTTGGATGTTACGTCTATGAGCAAGTGAACAGGATTACCTGGGAGATAACTTGGGTCTCTGACCATTGTCGTCAGTACCATATCCCATGTCCTTACCAGGTAAAAGCTATCGTTTGTATTGTTTCATGATTGAATTTTAGCATAGAAATGTTTCCGGGAAATATACTTGGATTAATTATGAGCATAAATTAAAATTTCAGGTGAGAAATCCAGTAGACATAGGATTGATTTCCTCTACGTTCGTTGAAATTGGGATAAGTGTCTTAAGGTTTTTCAGTTTGTTATGATAATAAAGTGTCTTTTTTTGCTGTTCTTTTAGAAATTACATAGGGTTGCGAAGGCAGATTAATAGAAATGAAGAAAAGACAGAACAACAGGTCTTGGGGAAAAAAAGAGAAGTAACTTCTGAATTGGAAGTTGTTTTAAATTCTTTAGTTAATAGGGGGAAATTTTATTTGGGTATATTTAATTTGATTGGGTTATCTTATACATTTTTGCAGACTATTTGCTTATAGAAACGAAACTTGATTTTTGCCTAAACCATACTGTCATTTCTTAACTGACAGTACAGTTAACACATTGTATGTGGGAAACGTATTTATACGTTTTACATTGACTGATAGTAGAGCATGGGACACGTATTAATACGTTTTTTATAGACTAGCGGTAGAATGCGGGTAACGTATAAATACGTTTATTTTTATACTTTTTTATTGCTCTAAAGGGATGCTAACATGCAAATATACAAATTCCAAAGGACAAAATTTGGTTCTCTAACACATACAATGGTGAATTATGTATGTACTTCCAGGTATAACGGTAATCAATCTATTCAACTGCAAAAATGGCCCGCGCCACCTGTTAGCGAGCGATAAAAACTACCCGCAAGCAATGTGTTAAGAAATGACAAAAGTACAGTTGAAATGAAATGTGTTTCATATGCTCCTGATGTTTATTAGTATAAAGGTGGAGTTAAGATTAAAGAAGTAAATTTCTGAAAATAAGAGAAAATTTAAATCATTTTAGTTGAGGTTTTTAATGAAAAATTTTGTTTTAAATAGACTTTATACATTTTTCTTGAATATTTATACCTGGTAATATATGTTATATTGATTATGAGTACTATCATCATAGTGTATCAAATCAAGCAATATGTGGGCTGATTATCTTATCTAATAAAAGAGAAACATGCAAATTGACAGAAACTTCGCTACACCCCAAGCCACGCGCACCAGCCAATCAGAGCAACTATATGCAAATTAACCCAACCAAGATGGCGGCTGGCAGCCGCGGAACTGGAGCAAGCAGGAGGCTTCCTTACTCCAGTGATGGAGGAAGCCAAGCTTCCAGCCTGTCCTGGCCAGCTGTGGCCTCCACTAAAGGCAACAAAGATTCAATTATAGAAGATAAATAAATCCCAGATACCTGCTTCCAGCCAGCCTCCTCTGGGAGCTTGGGTGGCTGGGGGCCGTGGCCAGCCTGCAAACAGCCATCAGCCCCTCACCCAGGCTGCACTAAGGATGTCCTACTGCAGCTTAGGCCTGCTCCCCGCTGGCAAGTGGACATCCCCCGAGGGCTTCTGGGCTGCCAGAGGGATGTCTGACTGCTAGCTTAGTTCCAATCCCCCGGGCAGCAGGCCTAAGCCAGCAGGTGGACATCCACTGAGAGGTCCCAGACTGAGAGGGCACAGGCCAGGCTGAGGGACACCCCTCCCCCCAAGTGCACAAATTTTTGTGCACCAGGCCTCTAGTTTTACACAATAATTTATATCCTAGAAAGTTACTACATTTTAGCATAGTGGAACCTATTTAAATACTGGTGGGTGGAAATGATAGTTTTACTTGCCTTAAACATACTGTCCACAGCCTGTTATCAGTAGGCTGTTTTTACTATATATTAAATAAGGGAGCTATGTCTTAGAGTTATCCCGACACAGTAAATGTTTTCTATATTCTCAGAATTTTTGGCAAACTAGGAGGAAAATGCAATTATTAAATACTACCAAAATTTAAAATCTATGATTTTTAAAAATTATGTTTCATGTAAAGAAAGAAACTATAAAGTACTAGAAAATACAATGAAAAAATTCTAAACTTAAAGTGGAGACTTAAAACTAGGAGGAAAATGCAATTATTAAATACTACCAAAATTTAAAATCTATGATTTTTAAAAATTATGTTTCATGTAAAGAAACTATAAAGTACTAGAATATACAATGAAAAAATTCTAAACTTAAAGTGGAGACTTAATAAATATGATATAAAATTCAGAACTTTAAAAGAAATAATAGCTAAATTTGACTACATTAAAAAAATTTTTGTGTATGGCAAAAACCCCCACCATAATCAAAGTCAGAAAATCAACTGGGAAAATTTATTCACACATCACAACACAGTTGAAGGGCTAATTTCCTTGATTTATAAAGAGTTTCTTTAAATCAATAAGAAAAAAACAATAATCTGGTATAAAATGTAGAGGATTCACAGAAAATTAATCCTCTGACATGTGCAAAATGTAAGAGAATTGCAAATTAAAATTATAATAAACTCTGGCCGGTGTTTCTCAGTAGTTAGAGCATTGACCCAACCACTGAAGGGATGCTGGTCCAATTCCCAGCCAAGGGCTGTACCTAGGTTACAGGTTCGATCTCTGGCCTGCTGGGGCACATGCAAAAGACAACCAATCTATGTGTCTCTCTCACGTCAATCAATGTTCCTCTCTCTCTCTCTCTCTCTCTCTCTCTCAACCTCTCCCCCCACCCCTTCCCTCCTTTCTACTCTCTAAAAATCAGTGGGAAAAAAATCCTTGGGTGAGGATTAACAATAACAAAATTATAATGAAATGATGTGCCTACTTATGACATGGCAAACATCTGAAGGTTTATAGCCACTATGTTGGTGGAACTGTGGCAAAATACACATTCTCAGACTTCGTTATTTAATCAGTTCAACCTTCTGTGAAAAGCAGTTTGACAGTATCTATCATTTAAAATGCACATATTCTTCGATCATGCCCTTATGGGAATTTATTGACGAATCTGCTCACAAAGGTGAGTGATTGCCTGCATACAAAGATAGTCACTGCAACAGGATTTGCAATGGCAATAGGTTGAAAATAACCTAAGTATCCATTAATAGGACTACTTGAGTAAATTATGTTCACGCAATAGAACAGCCTTTAAAAATAAATGAGAAGCTCTATTTCTACTGATAGAGAATGGTCTCCAAGAAATATTAGTAAGTGAAAAGAGCAAGATATAATATGGAATGTATAATATTTTGATACTTCTGTAACATCTAAAAATAATGTTAAAATTTATACTTAGAAAAAAGTATGGATTAATTTTTATGAAATTTTCACTTTAATGATATTTATTTTGCTCTAACAAATCAAGATTTTATAACATAAACACCAACAATATGTAAAGATTCTAAAATAATATGTTGTTATAAGGACTTTAAATGTGTGTGTTTTTGTGATAGATTAAAGTGAAGGAAAAATATAAATATTTAGAGGCAAATATTTGGCAATTATACTTCTAAGGGGGAAAAGTTCAGGAAATCAAGTCAAGATTAGGAAGGCCATCCTTCCTAAACATATTAAAGTATTTTTTCCTTTCTAGCTATATATTTTGACATATATATAAGGTTATTTGTTCAGAACTTAGGTAAAGAATGTATTACACTTAAAACACTTTATTATGGAAATTATTTATAAAATAGTAAATATTTTATAAAAATCAGACAAGATTTATATTTTTTGTTCGTTTTGCATTAACTTATATAGACTTAAAATATATCACTGAAATTTTTATTATTCACCATTTTTTTTACAGGCAAAAGCAGAAACTCGACCAGAATTGGCTTTATTTATGATAAAATACCTGATGACATTAATTGTTGGCATCTCTGCCGTCTTCTGGGTTGGAAGCAAAAAGACATGCACAGAATGGGCTGGGTTTTTTAAACGTAATCGCAAGAGAGAGTAAGAACCTATTGAATTATCTGACACTATCTTAAAAATAAATTGCTCAAATACCAAGGAACTATTTAAATCATCATTGCACTGGAACTTTATTATATCAGTTGTTTCAAGTATGGAAATCTTCATGGAGAGAGATGCTTTCCTCTGGCATTCATTATAATAGGCTGACATGTGCTATTCTGTTCAAATATGAATGAAAGATTTATAAAATGTGCATTTTCTTTCCATGGCTTATAATATATTATTACTACTTTCATTGGATTCATTATTTTGAGGATAGCACTTTTAATAATTTTATCCTTTTTTATCAATGCTAAAATATTAAATGGGATCAAGTATATGTAAGGAAATCTATAAAGTATGATTCGGATGTGATGTATTATAGTTATTATTTACCTTTAAATTTTATTACACATAGTGTTGACTTAAAATTTCCTGGATTCGATTCCAGTCAAGGGCATGTACCTTGGTTTCGGGCTTGATCCCCAACAGGAACCAACTGATTGATGTGTCTCTCTCATCGATGTTTCTAACTTTCTCCCTTCCTCTCTAAAAAAATCAATAAAATATATATTTAAAAAATTTCACTTATTTACCTTGCCTAAGATGGTAAAAATTCAAACTTAAGGAATATTCTGTAACAATATAGTAGATTGACATTTCTGAGTGAATAGTTCACTTCAGTTACTTATGTACATTGTATACTATGTATTATCAATAGTGTACAAGAGAGTTTTTTAAACCATCCCCTGTTGGTTTAATTAATGAACTTTTTTGTGGTAAAAATTTAAGAACTGTAGACTCTTTCACAAATAAGTTTTTGAAATCTGAAGAACTGCATTTAACTGGACTTTAAATTTTTTGCACTATTACTATGTCTTTTCCATATTTATATACCCACACTAACTTCAGTATAACTTGCTAACGTTAATGTTAGAAAGAAAACAGTTGAATTTAAGCAAAGTCCACTAATCATATTCTGTGTCCTCTCTCTTCTGGTTTACTTTAACATTTGATACACTTACATATGCTACACATAGAGTTCGGCCTCTACTTTAGGCTGGTTTATGTTTCCTTGCCCTCATTCTTTGGTGTTGCCTATTTAATTCCTTACCAGTCTACTATGTATATTGGCAAAGGCAGCTAACAGTACGCATAAAAGATTTCACTTCATGGCAATCCACTTACTACTATATCTCATAATAGTTATGATCCCATATTTTGTAAGTAATATAAATCTTATATAATTTTAACTGTACTGAATAAGGGCTTTTAGCACAGCTATGTGATACGCTTTATGGCTTCTAAAATAACGCTTACCATTTTTAAGTAAATCCTCTCTTTTCTTACAGTCCAATCAGTGAAAGTCGAAGAGTACTGCAGGAGTCATGTGAGTTTTTCTTAAAGCACAATTCTAAAGTTAAACACAAAAAGCACTACAAACCAAGTTCTCATAAGCTGAAGGTCATTTCCAAATCCATGGGAACCAGCACAGGAACTTCAGCAAATCATGGCACTTCTGCAGTGGCCATCGCTAACCACGATTACTTAGGACAAGAAACTCTGACAGAAATTCAAACCTCTCCAGAAACATCAGTGAGGGAAGTGAGAGAAGACGGAGTGAACACCCCCAAACCAAGAGAACAGGACTGTGGGGAACCTGCCTCCCCAGCCGTATCCAGCTCCAAACTCTGTGGGGAACAGGCTGACAGGAAAGGCCGGGCAGGCAACGGGAACGACAAGAGCAGTGTCTCTGAAAGTGCACAGAGTGAAGGAAGGTGAGCTTTGCTTTTGTTATCTTAAGTCAGGACTATTTTGAACACTGCATTATACATTTTTTATCAAAGGGTAACATGTTTGGAAAGAGAGCATTCTACGAGGTGACATGTTTATACACTAATCCAAGGAATTTTGGATTTCAGAAGTTGTAGTTCAGCCTATGAATATTCTATTTTGTAGTTTAAGTCTTAGCTTGGAGAAGGGCCTTCATGGATGTTGTTCAGGTAGTACAGTCACGTTCATTTCTCTGGTAATTGTTAAGAGTTGCATGCATATTTAGGTAAATGTTATGATTTATCAGAAATATAGGCTAAGTTTTATTAAGGTTGATCTATATTTTAGTTGAAATTCCAGTTTGGTCTTGGGAAGAGGTGAGTGTAACTTCCACGTACTCTGTCATACCATCTTCAGGCTAAGTTTTCATTAGTACTGCTTTATGGTAGTGTCTAAAAGGTATTTGCCAGTTTAGAGTCGCCAGGGGTGGGGAACCTTTTTTCTGCCAAGGGCCATTGGATATTTATAACATCATTAGGGGGCCATACAAAATTATCCACTTAAAAATTAGCCTGCTATATTTGGTCAAACATTTAATTAACTCACCCCGAATGCCTTGGCAGGACCAGACCAAATGATTTTGCGGGCTTTATACCGCTCTCAGGCCGGGTGTTCCCCATCCCTGGTAGACAAAGATGATTATAAGATGTTTTTATTTTCTGAGCATGAAAGGATATTGACATTATCTTTAATGGAATTTTCCATATAGTCATTGGTGATCCAAACACAGCTATACATGAAATTAGCCAGAATGCTGACAACTACTTGAAGGTCTCAAGGTTGTCTTACCTCACCCTTCCAAGCTAGGCCAAATGCACCTTCTCTGTGTTGCTGTAACAGCTTTTGCATCCCTGGATTGTAATTAGATACATGCTTTCATCCTCCACTAGATTTGTAAGCTCCTTAAAAGGCAGAGCTGAGGTCTTACCGTTGTATTCCCAACTGCTTACATAGTCCGACCCATGGTGGAAAATCAATAAAATGTTTGCTAATCTGAGGGCAGGAAGCCTGTCTTACTAATTGTATTCCCCAGGAGACACCATGCTCGGCCCATGCATGAGTGGTGCTTGACAGTTTCCAAAGTTAGCAAAAATTATTTGAAAATAAAGTATTTGTGTTTTGAGGTGTTAGAGTAGACATACAATTTTAGTAAATTATCCTATGATAAAGTGGACACTGGCTGGAAGTAAAACTCAAGAAAGTGAGTAGCAGTTATAAGGACATCTGGCATCACATCTGTGCTTGGAATGTATGTGTGTCAATTTCTGTTCTTTACCTAGGGTGGCTCCAAAAACTGATGTTACTGAAACTGGCCTGGCGCAGAGCAACAGCTTGCAGGTTCCCTGTCCTTCAGAGCCAAGCAGCCTGAAAGGCTCCACATCACTGCTCAGTCACTCGGCTTCAGGAGTTAGAAAAGAGCAGGGCGCTGGCAGTCACTCAGATACTTGAAAACCAGGTTCTCCCGTCACTTAGAAGCGTAAGTGTGTCACACTGGAGGCGGCCAGTGCACCGTCACATAAGAACCACTATTACAGTCTTCTTTTGTACTTAAAGTTGCATTGCCTGGTGTTACACTGGAAACAAGAAATGCTGGGAATAATATGATTCATTTCTCATAGAGGTTAATGACAACAATATCTGGAAAACAGAAAAGTGCAGGTTAATAATATTTTTTAAATTGTGTGGGAGGAGGGAGTTAGAGGAATCTTCCTTTTTTTATTTATGAAGATTCTGCTCTTGTTAAAAGTATTTTAAGGTGTACAATGCTATTTTACTTTTATGATATAAAATCAAGATTTTTCTTTGCTGAAGTATTTAAAACTTATCTTTACATCGTTTTTATATATTTGAAAATAAGTTTATATGTATTTGAACTTTTTTAAGATATCCTGGAAAATCTACTCAAATATTTTATTATGTTATCTGATATCTTATTTTCATACTACTTTGGTAGCTTTTACACTGAATTGCTAAGAAAATTGAAAAATAGTATTCTTTTGTAGTATATAAAGAGTTGGCACACCAGAGGTGTCACAATGGGAATTCAACTAAAAAATCCACTTACCGTCTTCAGTATGTGAATTTCACGTCTCATTGTTTTAGTAGTGTCACAGCTCTGTTACACAACTGAAATAAGGTGCTCATTGCAAGAGTGATTAATGTTGTTTATATTACGTTGCTTGCTGATCCTTCTGCATTTTAAAAATAAAATGTCCTGCAGGATTAGTAGATGGGCTGTTACTCTTCTATAAATTAAGCCAAGTGCAATTGATTTTCTTTTTTTAATGTTTCATGCCCACCCAGGATTGTGTTGTTATGACCACTACAGTTGCTTATACTTTTGTCTTTTAACATTTAGAATACTACAAAATGTTTGTATTTGTGCAGTATCTTTTTCAGATATTATGTAGAATTCGTTTCTGTAGCTAAATGGGATTTTGCTGAACATGAAAAAAGTGTGTTAGCAATATTAGTGCCAATCAAATGGAAAAAAATGTAGTCCTGATAAAATAAATTAAATTTCATATAATATACTTTAAAATACTAAAGAATATTCTTAATTTTGTTTCTAATTATTATTCCTCAAACAGATTTTCTGTTGCTTTTGGTTTTTTCTCTATTTACCATTCTGTTAAAGCATACAAAGAAAATTATCATGTACTGTTTGGAAAATGTTGTAAATATTAACTTTTCCACATTTGTTAACTTTGTATACAAAAACTTTGTTTATGTGATCTTTTCAGGAATAAAATTTTCTTTATATAAGAGATTGTAGAGTGTTCCATGTTATGTAGTGTGGTCCTGGCCCAGGAAGTGGCATAATCTTTCAGATCAGCAGCTCAATGACTAATAAGCCAGAACTTCCTTTTTAAATAATTTTTTATTTTTCAATTACAGTTCACATACAATATTATATTAGTTTCAGGTCTAGTGATCAGACATTTATATATCTTACAAAGTGATCACCCCGATAAATCTGGTACCCATCTGACACCATATATAGTCATTACATTGTTATTTACTGTATTCCCTCTGCTATACTTACATCCCTATGACTATTTTGTAACTCTCTTAATCCTTTAACCTTTTCCACCCCCTTCCGAACCCTCCTCCCCTTTAGCAGCCATCAATTTGTTCTGTTTGTTTTTGTTTTCTTTGTTCATTTATTTTGTTTTATAGCTTACATATATAAGTGGAGTCATGTGACATTTGTCTTTTTCTGTCTGATTTATTTCACTCAGCACAGTATCTTCTATGTTGTTGCAGATGGCAAGATTTCCTTTTTTTTACTGAGTCATATTCCATTGTGTATATATATACACTATTTCTTTTGATATGGACACTTAGTTTGTTTCCATACGTTGGCTATTGTAAATAACGATGTAATGAACATATTAATGCATATGCCTTTTCAAATTAGTGTTTTGGGTCTCTTTGGATATATATCTATCAATAATAACGTTACATGTAAGTGGATTAAAAGTTTCAATCAAAAGATATTTGGTAGCTGAAAGGATAAGAAAACAGACCCTTACATATACTGTCTGCAAGAGACTCACTTCAGATCAAAAGGCACACAAAGGGTTGGAAAACGATATTTCAGGAAAATGGAAACAAACAAATAAAGCTGGGTTAGCAATACTTATACCAGGCAGAATAGACTTTCAAACAAAGGCTATAACAAGAAACAAAGAAGGACCCAGCAATTCCACTTCTGGTTATTTATTCAAAGTATTGTTAACCCAGCTTTATTTGTTTGTTTCCATTTTCCCAAAATACCATAAGGCAGTTCCATTTTTAATTTTTTTGAGGAAACTCCATACTGTTTTCCATAATGGCTGCACCAATCTGCATCCCCACTAACAGTGCATGAGGGTTCACTTTCCACATCCTTGCCAACACTTGTTGTTTGTTGATTTATTGATGACAGCCATTCTGACAAGTGTGAGATGATATCTCATTGTGGTTTTAATGTGCATTTATCTGATAACTAGTGCCATTGAGCATCCTTTCATATGTCTATTTGACATCTGTATAGCCTCTATGAAAAAGTGTCTCTTCAGATCCTTTGCCCGTTTTTTAATTGGATTGTTTGTTTGTTTTTTAGTGTTGAGTTATACAAGTTCTTTATAAATGTTGGGTATCAACCCCTTATCAGTTGTATCATTGGTGACTATATTCTCCCATTCAGTGAGTTGTCTTTCTCTTTTCTTAGTTTCCTTTGCTGAACAAAAACTGTTTGGTTTGATGTAGTCCAATTTGTTTATTTTTGCTTTTATTTCCTGTGCCCAAGGTGATATAGAAGAAAAAATATTGTTACAAGAAATATCCAAGATTTTACTGCCCATGTTTTTTTCTAGGATTTGTATGGTTTTGAGTCTTACATTTAATTCTTTAATCCATATTGAGTTTATTCTTGTGTACGGTGTGAAAAGGTGATTCATTTTTTTGCATGTATCCATCCAATTTCCCCAACACCATTTATTAAATACACTATCTTTACCCCATTGTATGTTCTTGCCGCCTCTGTCAAATATTAATTGACCATAAATGCGTGGGTTTCTTTCTGGACTCTCTATTCTGTTCCATTGACCCATATATCTGTTTTTATGCCAGTACCAAGCTGTTTTGATTACTATGGCCTTGTAGTATAGTTTGATACCAGGTGGCATGATTCCTCCAACTTGGTTCTTCTTTCTCAAGACTGCCGTGGCTATTTGGGGTCTTTTTGAGGTTCCATATAAACTTTTGGAATATTTGTTCTAGTTTTGCAAAATATTCCATTGGTCTCTTGATAGGAATTGTGTTGCATCTATCGCTTACATTGGGTAGTATGAACATTTCAATGATGTTAATTCTTCCTATCCATGAACACACTGTATGCTTCCATTTATTTGTATCTTCCTTTTGGTTTCTGCCTTGATCTCACTGTTAACTAATTGATTGTTTAGTAACATGTTATTTAGCCTCCAGGTATTTGTGTTTTTTCATGGTTTTTTTCTTTCAATTGGTTTCTAGTTTCATAACATTAAGGCAGAGAAGACAACTGATGTGATTTCAATCTCTTTAAATCTATTGAGACTTGTTTTGTGTCCTAACATGTGGTCTGTCCTAGAAAATGTTCCATGTGCTCTTGAAAAGAATGTATATTCTGCTGCTTTGGGGTGAAATGCTCTGAAGATATCAATTAAATCCATCTGCTCTAGTGTGTCATTTAACACTGTCATTTCCTTATTGATTTTCTATCTGGAAGACCTACCCATTGAGGTCGATGGGGTGTTAGGTAGGTTCCCAGTGAGACACCAGGTAGGGGTAAGTCGTGTTCACCAGATTGATAAAGATTCAAGCTCAGTGCCAGTGCTGGGTCTGAGGCCACTCAGCAAATGTCCCAGGGTTACCAAGTCCAGCCACCACCTACTGGGTGCCTGGGAGGGAGGAGAAATGGCTTAGTGAGCAATTGGCCAGCAATGTTTTAATCTACTAAAGTAAATGTTTTAATCTAATGCCATTCTTTAATTCTTTGAATAACTCAAATTGATCATGATGTATCATTTAATACATTGCTTGATTTGATTTGTTGTCTATTTAGAATAAAAATTTGCATCTATACCCACCTATATCCTAAATGATTTCTCAACCATCGGCATACTATTTATAATCAGTAAGCTTGGATTTAAAAGTTTTTACTTTTAGTAGCAAACTTCAAAAATACCATTTAATTCAAAAGAAAAGAACAGTTTTTCTTTTGCATGGGACCAGAGTCTTGATGCAAAAAGAATCTGCTATTTCAGAGGTGGTAACATTAATTTTTATACAGATTTTACAGCATTTTTTAACCAAGAAATTTGACCTAAATTACATAATATATTTACATTTATTTATTTATTTATTTTATTTTGTTAATCCTCACCTGAGGATATTTTCCCCTTTGTTTTTCAGAGAGAGTAGAAAGGGAGGGAGAAGTGGGAGGAGGAGGAGAGAGAGAGAAACATTGGTGTGAGAGAGACACATTGACTGGTGGCCTCCTGCACACACCCTACTGAGGGCAGGAGTGCACCTGCAACCCATGTACATGCCCTTGACCAGGAATCGAACTGAGACCCTTTGGTGTGTGAGCTGACACTTCAACCACTGAGCAACACTGGCCAGGGCAACATACTTACATTTATAATAACAAGGCTGGCATCAGCATGTGCAGCTACACTCAGCAGCAGTAAAGATGTGACAAAGCACCATTTCAATTTGGAAGGTGGCCACAAACCCTCAATAGAATTTTATGAAATGCCATCTTTCAAAAGGACTCAGTACACCCACTGGGATCCATTACTGCTATGCTCTTCACAGTACTGAAGAAATCTTCCCTAGACTTCCCTCAAAAAACTAGACCAAAAACACCTTGTAAGTGCCACCCATCATCAAAATCACAGTTTTAGTGCTTTCTTACTCTCGTCATCTCAGAAATGTACCCCTGATGTGTGTTTCCAGTTACCACTGCTGGAAAGTTTTAACGTTGCCAAGGCAGGCACTGCTACTCTCAGGAAATGAAGGACATAATTTTTAATAACCACAAGAAGGCCTGCTGTTCCTTTTCTGCATGGAGAGCATAATCGTTAATACCTCCCTGCCCATAGCATAGATGAAAGACTTAAAATTACAGATGCTGAAGGTTTTAGCAGAAGCCTCTGTGATCCATCATGGGCAAAAGAATCAAATTTCAATAACTCACCATGGCAGTGTGTCAACAAGGAGGAAAGAGAAGAAAATATGAAAAGGCTAATCCAAAATTATCCAAAGACATTGGGACCCAGAGCTGAACAGTAGTGCAAAGTGACAGTCAAGTTTGCTGTGGGCATGACAGAAGGAGCAGAAACAAAAGGGAGTGGGAAGTGAAGTATGAGAAAATGAAAAGGAAGGACTGAAGTAGTAAATCCTAACTGGAATGAAACTAAATGAGAAAATGATTGCTGAAATGAGCAAATTACAGCAGACAAATCTGTGGCTTTTATTTTCCAGCTTTAGAAGGAAAAACTTCTAAGAATAGGTTTTCGAATTTTCCACCACAAATGGAGGGGATGAGGGAGGGTGAACCTACTTAAATTTCAATAGAAATATCTTAAGAGAAAGTTCTCCAAATAAATCATTTCCAAAAGCATGATATCATTCATCTTCCTTTATACCTTTATTTTCTACTTATTTGGTTTCACTTATACTGGTTTTAACATACCTAAATGCAAAGACTCTGCTCAGCCTACTTATAAATACATAATTACACTTAGAATATATTGAGAAGAGAAGCACAAAATCAATACAGATTTTAAAAATGATTTTCTTACCCTGGCCGGGGTAGCTCAGTTGGTTAGACTGTTGTCCTGATATGCCAAGTTTTGGGTTTGATCTCCAGCTGATCAGGGCACATAAAAGAAGCAATGAATGCATGCATAAATGGGTGAAACAACAAATTGATGTTTGTCTCTCTCTTTTTCCCTTCCTCTCTCTCTAAAACCAACAAATCAATCTAAAAAGAAACAAGAAGAAAAATAT